AGAGATGACGAGAGAGGAGAGAAGAGAGAAGGAGAGAGAAGTAGTGGAGAGGAGACAGGAGGAGAGAAGAGAGCGAGAGGCGGGGAGGGCGGGGGCGAGGGGGACGAGGGGCGGGGGCGCCGGAGGGAGGGGAGAGGAGGACGAGAGAGAGACGAGAGAGATAGAGAGAGAGAGAGAGTAGGAGACGAGAGAGGAGAAGAGAGAGGATGGGGAGAGAGGCGGAGAAGAAAGAGAGAAAGAGAGAGAGAGAGAGAGAGAAGAACGAGAAGAGAGAGAGAGGGAGAGAGGAGAGGGGGAGAGAGCAGGGGGAGAAGAGAGGGGAGGAGAAGAGGGTCAGAGAGAGAGGGGAGACGAGAAGGGAGACGAGAGGGGGAGAGGGGGAGGAGGGACGGGAGGGAGGAGGAGGAGGGGGGAGAGAGGGGGAGAGAGAGAGAGAGGAGAGAGGGAGGAGAGGAAGATGAGAGAGAGAGAGAGAGAGAGAGAAGAGAGAGAGACGAGAGAGAGAGAGAGAGAGAGGAGAGGAGAAGAGAGAGACGAGAAAGAAAGAAAGAAGAAAAGAAAGAGAGAGAGAGAGAGAGAGAAGAGAGAGGAGAGATGAGAGAGAGAGAAGGAAGAGAGAGAGAGAGAAGAGAGAGAGAGAGAGAAGGAGGGAGAGGAGAGAGAGAGAGGAGAGAGAGAGAGAGAGAGAGAGAGAGAGAGAGAGAGAGAGAGAGAGAGAGAGAGAAGAGAGAGAAGAGAGAGAGAGAGAGAGAGAGAGAGAAAGGAGAGAGAGGGGTACATAAAGGAATTAGGAAGTGTAGGGAGGTGAAGGAAGAGAGGATTAGGGTGAGGGAAAAATGTGGACACTTTTTGATATCCTTATTGCCTATTTACTTTCACCCTATTATTGTATCCTTACATTCTTCATCTGTTCAAAATCACAGACATCTTTATCTAACATTACTTCTCTAATCAAATATTTGTATATAACATGATCATGTTGCCAATTCTCCCTCTTTCATCCAACTTAGTATCCTCTTTTCTGTAGTTCACCTTTGCAATTCATATTTCCTTGAGTTGGTGCCCTTGAAACTCTTTCCTGTTTGTTTATATCCTTTTTGTAAGTACAGGCTCCATATCCATCGACTGTACTGCAGGTTTTATGTTAATTTATTGATCTTCGCCATATCTTTATTCCCACATATGAATGCCTTTGTCATGTTTGGAGTCATTACAAGCATTTTATGGACCTTTATGAGTGTGAGTGTGTGTGAGTGTGTGAGTGTGTGAGTTGTGTGTGTGTGTGTGTGCTGTGTGTGGTGTGTGAGTGTGTGAGTGTGTGTGTGTGTGGGTTGTGTGTGTGTGTGGTTGTGTGTGTGTGTGTGTGTGTGTGTTGTGTGTGGTGTTGTGTTGTGTGTGTGTGTGTGTGTTGTAGTGGTGTGTGTGTGTGTGTGTGTGTTGTGTGTGTGTGTGTGTGTGTGTGTGTGTGTGTGTGTGTGTGTGTGTGTTGTGTGTGTGTGTATGAGTGTGTATATGAGTGTGTGTATTGTGGTGTGTATGTGTGTGTGTATGAGTGTGTGTATGAGTGTGTGTATGAGTGTGTGTATATGAGTGTATGTGCGTATGCATGTGTGCGCGTATGTGTGTGTATGTGAGTGCATGTATGTGTATGTGTGAGTATGTTTGTGTATGTGTGTGAGTAGTGTGTATGTTTGAGTATGTTTGTGTATGTGTGTTTGTGTATGAATTATGTTGTGTATGTGTGAGTATGTTTGTGTATGTTTGAGTATGTTTGTGTATGTGTGAGTATGTTTGTGTATTGTGAGTATGTGTGTATATGAGGATGTTTGTGTGTGTAAACTTGCTCCATATCATTAGATGAAGAATACAATGTACAATAGCCATAAATGTCACACCAATTCTATTTACATCCTTACAGAATGTCAATAATATACATTCAAGAAATCACTAACCCATCACTTCTAATTCCCATCTATAACCTTAGACGGAAGACATGACACTGAAATGATACTTACTTGACAAACTCTTCCCTATTATGATCCGAAAGCAGGAGGACGTTGGTGAGATTGTGGTGGAGTTTCAAGAAGTCATGGTGGAAGATCTGGTGGTTTGCTAAAAGAGCCAGTCGTGGCCTCTGCGCCCAGTCTTTGTTCTTGCCGCTGCTGCGTAGCCAAGAAATGAACTCTTCTGCCCCGGCAATATCTGGTGACATAACTGTTCATAAGCGATGTGTGTGTGTGTGTGCGTGTGTGTGTGTGTGTCTCCTTATGAGTGTGTATATAATTACTTTTTATAATTCTAGTCATATCAAATAATTATTTCCTAAATATCAATTTTCAAAGTTGGAGACTTCCACAATGGAATAAATTGTTCCCTACATCAGTTTTTTTTCTAATAATTGAAAACAGCTTACACTAGATGTTTATTTTAGACACATTTGTTGGTCTAAGCTTGCATGTCAAACTGCTACTGAATGGCTTAGGTGATATGTCAATGTATTATTTCATGAGACAGAAAATTCAGTTCTACAAAATTACACAATTATGTATATATATTTAAAGCTTTACACTAACCTGCCACTCTGTCAGGCGTTAGAATTTCTTCTACTAAACAGGCAAATGCATAAGAATCGCGAGCATGTTGGTACGCAGGTGTTATTCTTGCTTTATCATCCGGTGGTATTGATTTTTCATGACAGTAACCATTAATGTGCTCAATGTGATCTCGAGTTAGCTCCCCAAAACTGTCATGGGGAGAAAAGATTATATTTTACTATTATTTTGCACTTATTTCAGTTATGCTTTCTTCATTTAATATGTAACCATGAAAGCAGAACAGTCATAAGTTAGATCTTTATATGAAGCTTAATGAATATGCATTATTAGTACCTGCAAGAATACTCCAGTCCCCATAATTTCCATGTTCCGTCACTAGTGATGAATATACTGGCAGCACTGACATTATTATGACTTACACCAGCCTGTAGGTGAAATGTTACAACTTAATACTTCTTTACTTATCAGATATTCCTTCTCTTAATATTTGTATAGATATCATATTTACAAACTGGTACATCTCATATAAACAAGCACAGAGAAATGTTTATATATACATCCATACAAATCACATTCACATATACACAAAAGAATGCTGAAATGAAAGATAATTCATATAAGTTAAAGCTATGCAAGTCAAATTAATATTGTATTATTCATTGTAAGAATAAATACACTGCATTATGCTATTTACTATTGCTTCCTTTAATGTTTATACATCTTAAAAAAAAAAAGTAACATTAAATCACTATTATGAATAACCTTGGTAGCATTTCTAAAAAAAAAAAAAAAAAAAGATCCCAAAGTGATTTGTCCATGTACATTGCATTACCCTATCATGAAGAAAAACCAGAGTATCTATAATGGATAACAATCCAGCTGAGATGTGAAGTGGTGACATTTGATCCAAGTCATGGTGTAGAAGTGGTTTCGCTCTTTCGGTTATTACAACAACTTCCCCTATAATACCACCATCGATGTACTTAAGCAGTCCTGGATGTCTGTATACACGACTGGCCTGTGGAGGTAGGATATATTAGTGAATATTATCATAATCAATATGTTAGAATATATTAAATGTCAATGTAAATGTTATCATATTTTGATATATGACTACACATAAACATGTAGAAAAGGTATGAATGGGAATGAATATGTTCACAATACAAAAGATGTATTTGCACAGTTTTGAATATATCATGTATTTCTGCTGAAGATATTTGTAACTGGTCAAATCCATCTTCTGTATTGTGAAGATATTGTGAAGATATTAATTCTCACTCATATCTTTTCTACATCTGTCAACATGAACAAGACTTTACACATACACAGTACACAGATACACAATAAAATTGATCAAACACTTAAAATTATATGACCAAATTCACTCACTCATCCCCCCCCCCAAAAAAAAAAACACCCACTCACCCATTCATGCACCCAAATAGCCATCCACTCATCACCCATACACACCTGTAATGCCCTTTCAATATATGGCCTCTTTCTGGAACTTGGAGGATGAGCTGCTGAGAATACTGTCACAGGAACATCTCCCAATTCTCCTGGGGCCATTGTCCAGTCCTCATATACCTGTGGATACAAGAATGAATACTAGGGTTTTGAAGGCTATGCACATACACAGACAAAAGTACATGTAATTATAATTAGTAAGTTCTGGTTTAGAATAATTTTTTAAAAACAAAAGAAAAGGGAAAAGAAAAACATATCAAATATAATACTTTTGTCTAAGGACAATTTTAACTAATCTTTAAAAAATCATCAATATACTATATATCAATAACAATACTTAAACTTCCTTGAATAAAATATCTGCTCAATAAAAAGGATGCTATAATAGCCATGGATTTTCATGCATGTTTTTGTCTGGATTCCAGTACTTGCTACACAAAGGAAAAAAAAGAAAAAAAAAAAAAATACAATACAGATCTGAAAAAGTAATGTCAAGTAATGTATCAAAGATGACCCTCTTTCCCCCTTAAAATACATAATTTTCCAATAAATCTAAACCTAATATACGTCAAATATATGTTTACAAATTTGGTAAGTGGCCTTGCCTCAAACAGGCTATGTGTAACACTCAAGACTTGAATATACTGTTTGTACTCTACTTTCCTTCTTCTGAAAATAAAAAAGAAAAGAAAAGAAAAGAAAGAAATTAGAGATCATATTATTTACAAGATCAAGTTTTTTTTCTGAAATATCATTACTGTTATTAGTCATAGTTATTTGTTTCAGCATTTTCTTCTATCACAATTAATTTTTGTTTATTAAATAATTTGCACCTAGACCTAATGCTTATGACAAGCCTAAGACATAATATATAAGCATCGCCTAAACTGTAAGAAAAAAAAAAACAATAGCATAGGTTGATTTACTCTACAATAAGAACAACATATCAGAAAGTATCAGACATATCATAAAATA